TTTTTTTTTAATTTTTCTACTTATTACCAATGGTAATGCTTTATTTCTAACTTTGTTTGCCTGTTATAACTTGTACCTCAGTGTTGTACCTTAATACATGTGTACCTAAAATGGCATGGAAGAGAAAGTGAGTAAGCTATTGAAAATGGCAGCACCAACATGAGTGGGAACAGTGGCGATGGCATTATGGGAAGCATGGCATTGACCGTGGGTCCTGAGCTGTGTGGGCTGCAGATCTGGTGCATGGAAGTGGATATGGGCCTGAGCCTAATGTGGTCAGGGCAAGTCCAAAATGTCAATGAGTGAGTTCCCCTGGCCATTTGCAGCATTGAGAGGGGGACGCCCGAAGTTTCCCAGACAGTGGCCCAAAGTGGAAGAGATTGAGCCCTCGCAAGGAGTGCACTTAAGAAAGCCTGTTGAACTTTTACCTTTATTCCTTTATTTTTCCACTTAGAGTCATAGAGTCATAGAGATATACAGCATGGAAACAGAATCTTCGGTCCAACTCATCCTTGCCGACCAGATATCCTATATAAATCTAGTCCCATTTGTCAGTATTTGGCCCATGACCCTCTAAACCCTTCCTATTCATATACTCATCCAGATGTCTTTCAAATGTTGTTAATCATACCAGCCTCCACCACTTCCTCTGGCAGTTCAGCCCATTTGCACATCACCCTCTGTGTGAAAAAGTTCTCTCTTAGGTCCCTTTTATACCTTTCCCCTCTCACCTTAAACCTATGCCTTCTAGTTTTGGAGTCTTCCATGCCAGGGAAAAGACCTTGGCTGTTCACCTTATCCATGCCCCTCATGATTTTATAAATCTCTATAAGGTCACCCCTCAACCTCAGATGCTCCAGGGAAAACAGGCCCTGTCTATTCAGCCTCTTAATATAGTTCAAACCATCCAACCCTGGCAACATCCTTGTAAATTTTTTGTGAACCCTTTCTTTCTTCCTTTCCTGTAGGAGGGAGACCAGAATTGCACGCAATACTGCAAAAGTGTCTGAACCAATGTCCCGTAAAGCCGCAACATGACCTCCCAACTCCTATACTCAGTGCACTGACCAATAAAGGCAAGCATACCGAAAGCCTTCTTCATTATCTACCTGTGACTCTACTTTCAAGGAACTATGAACCTGCACTCCAAGGTCTCTTTGTTCAGCGACATTCTCCAGGACATTACCATCAAATGTAAAGTCCTACCCTGATTTGCCTTTCAAAAATGCAGCACCTCACATTTATCTAAATTAAACTCCATCTGTCACTCCTCAGCCCACTGGCCTATCTGATCAAGATCTGTTGTATTCTGAGCTAACCTTCTTTGTTGTTCACTACCACCTCCAATTTTAGTGTCATGTGCAAACTTATCGACCATACCTCCTATGTTCGTATCCAAGTTATGTATAACACCGATCCTTGTGGCACACCAATGGTCACAGGCTTCCAGTTTGAAAGGCAACCCTCCACCACCACCTTCTGTCTTCTACCTTTGAGCCAGTTCTGTATCCAAATAGCTAGTTCTGCCTGCATTCCATGTGAACTAACTTTGCTAACCAGTCGACCTTGAGGAACCTTGTGAAACGCCTTACTGATGTCCATCTAGATCACATCCACTGCTTTGCCCTCATCAGTCCTCTTTGCTGCTTCTTCAAAAAACTCAATCGTTACCTGTAGCATCAACATTTAACTTTATTTCTTTATTTTTCTACTTACGCCAAAAACAACGGTTATGCTTTCTTTGTAACTTTGTTTCTGTGTTATTACTTGTATCTAAGTTTTGTACCGAGATACCTTCGTACCTAAGATGGCACCATGTGCGGTGATGCATTCACTTTTCACTGTACTCCTGTAATTGTGTACACGTGACAATAAAAGCTTGAATCAGTTCAAATAAATCCAGTTGTCATTTTATAGTTCCAAGTTGCTGTTAAGAGTACATTTAGAATGAATATGCTTATAGTCTGGTTGCATTCAACAATTCATAGAATCCCTACAGTGTGGAAACAGGCCCTTCGGCCCAACAAGTCCACACCGAACCTCAGAGCATCCCACCCAGACCCATCCCCTTGTAACCTACCTGATCTACACATCCCTGAACATTATGGGCAATTTAGCATGGCTAATTTACCTTACCTGCACATCTTAGGACTGTGGGAGGAAACCGGAGCACCTGGAGAAAACCCACACAGACAAGGGGACACATAGACAATTCCACACAGTCACCTGAGGGTGGAATCAAACCCTGGTCGCTGGCGCTGTGAGGCAGTTAAGTTTACTTAAGTTTAGATATCAAAACTCAAGATTTCAAATTTTAGCATTTTATGTAAACATATAGATGCCAGACTGAAGGTTTAGGTTTTTAAAACAGGGTTCATATTTAATGTCAAGATTATTTGGGAGAGGACACACCTTGGAATACGAATAATTATTGTGAATGCAAGTTAAATGAAATGGTTAACTCACACAGACTTGTTCTTTCCTTCCACTGCCGCAGCAAGAGCTATTTTGGCTTCAGGTTGAATTTCTAAAGAAATTTTATCTGAAGCAATTTCTGATTTTCCACCAAGACTGATATTCCTGCAAATTAAAAGTATTGAACACTGATTGCAACGTACATGATGAACACATAAATCTACCTATTGTGTGGTATTACAAGCATCGGATCATAAAGTGAATAGAGTGACATGATTTAATTAGAACAATGTGTTAACAATTTTGCAAGTTAAAAATGTTTGGAATTATAAAAACTGTATAACTCAATCTCATTTATTTGCTTCCTTAATGAGGATGATTCTGAAATTCTAAGAAATATACCATAATTTATTTTTGCACAATAAAAGGGCTGAATTTTACTGTGGGCTTTGGCATCCACAGGTTGAACTGAAAAGTAGGTTGCATACTTGCAGCACTTGCTAGCTATGGATTGCTGGTTTAGTAATTTTACCAAAGGCAATCTCCTAATCGATAAGCAGCAATTAAAATTAAGGGGTTTCATGAGACAAAGGGTACACCCTCTGAGGATATAGCTGTACCATTTGCATCCAATGGTTCCTATTTGGGCTGTGGAATTTTTGGCTCTGCTGGCCTCCAGGGTGCCCCGTGGAGACTCCATCTAAGAAGCTGACAGGCTGCAGCCACCCTGCTGCTTCTCTTACTAATAGCAGCAATGGTAGGACAATGGTGGGGAACTGACCCAACAAGGTGTCCCACTATTTTACCCGTCCGTCTGCCTCTGTTCGTTCCACCAGAGAATTAGTAAAATTCAGCCATTAATCTATTATAATCTACTATTTAGGTAATCTGGAATGAAATATTAAATGAGTACAAGGTAACAAAAAATAATTAAAGCAGTATTTTCATTGTGAAAGGTAGTTAGCAGCTAGCTATTATTTTTGACCTGATCATTTAACCAGGCATCTAACCAAAGAAAGAGAAATTGAACTAATGTGACAAGTACAATTTACTCCTGCTAGAAAACAATAACACAGGCAAACTCATACGGTAAAGTTCAGAACATGGCAAAGGGCAACGAAGAAGCAAAGGATAATCTACTGCATGTCAAAGTAGCTGGGTTGGAAATAAGTTATGGAATTGTTAAATGCAAGTGAGAAGCTGGTCAAGGCAAGGCCATGGGAGGGAGACAACAGCAGAAAGTCTACACCTATCAATCAGTCTGCAGCAGAAATGACACTAATACTGATAAGTATTCCTCACCATCATTGAAAGTTTTGACTTATTAATTTGCATGAACCAAGATAAATGTAAACAGGGAGACACACAGCTGTGAAACTTATAAACAAATTGCAGGAAACCACTATCTACCGTGGAGCGATATCTGTCTACCTTACCATTAAGAACATGAATGCTTTATTAATACATTGGTGAAAAGAAGCATTTGCTGGACAATCATTATTATGACCTATCAAAATACTACCAGATGAAGAATGCCCTGGAGATTGGAAATTACACTATCATCAGACAGACGAGTTGCAAAAGAGAAACCTTCTTTGAATACTCAACAGAGTAAACCCAAGCGGGCAAGATAATGAAAGAAATTGGTTTTAATTTTTTTTTCTAGTACAAAGTGCAGGCAGCAAATGTATAAGTCATTGCTGCTAACTATTTTAAGTGGCAGCCAGCCAACCACATAGCTGTGGAACATAACTGTACCAGAAAATTATAATTTATTTTTGAGATATGGGTGTGATTACCATTTTTTTAGTTTCCCTTGATAAGTTTGTGGTAGACCTCCAAATTGAACCACCACATTCTATGCAGGTCAGAAGTCAGACAACAGCAGGTTATAGTCCAACAGGTTTATTTGAAATCACAAGCTTTCAGAGTGCTGCTCCATCATTAGGTGAAATGCACTTTATGCAAGTGCCACTGTCATTAGAGTCCATGGGCCAAATCTCTGCCTAAAAACAAGAGGGCTCTCACACCATTGTAAACCAAAGTTTATCTAGGGGTTTCCCCCGACCATTGGCTAAATGTCAAAAGTGGGAAGCAACTCTTAACTAACCATTTACATGTCTTAGTTGCATTTCGGAGTGAGGACTGTCTGCCATCTTACTTTGCCAAAATGACATGGTCACAGAAAGATAACAGATTACTGACCTTCACCGTTTTATGGGCTATCTTGCCTCCCACACAAGCTCTACAAGGGGGCTTTAAAATCTAGCTCATCAACTGTGTGCTTAAATTCACCATTAATCAAAACCTCATAAACTTTTACCTTTGAACAGACCAAGAAACCACAATGAAGACTTTTGAAACATTATCCTTTAATTCTTCTATCATCTTCTTCCGACTTGGTGGACTGATGGTCCAAAGAGAATTTGAGTTTCCTTCAAGTTGTGCAATTAGAATGTCTTCTTTCATGTACGCATCCAGGAACTGCATGGCAGCCTAGGAAAAGATAGAATTAGCTATTAATTCACTGTGAATTTCACCTCTACCACCATCACTTTCAGAGACCAATTAACACAGATGTTATATATGGTGATCCAATGGGGTCAACTTTCAACTTCAGATGCAAGTCAGGACAAAAATTTAGCAAGTTTCTGAAAAGTCCTGAAAGATACATCATAACCTAGTATGTCATCTTTGGAGGTAAGGAATTAAGAGTTGGCAGTTCAAGATGTAGGAAACAAGAGTCTGAAACATAGGCATGGGCCTCGAGACATGATAGTTCAATACAGTTTTTGACCTTCACTGAGTAATACCGTGATTGATATGAGGAAAGTTACTTTCTACAAAACTTCACCATACTATTTTGTTGGTCAGCCCGACTATGTGCCTACTAAAAAAAGTTCAATTAACTTTCAAGCAGCAGCTGACTTTTATTATCAACTTACTGCCTGATAGTCATATGGTGACCTTTCAGGGCTGTTCAACAGTTGTTTCTCTGTTCACCATGACAATGGTTTCTTAGGACCTGGCAAAATGGTTGATGCCAATTCGTTGTTAAAAAAACACTCTTGTTAATATCATGAAACACTACCTAAAGCTTATAAAGCATTTAATGTTTGAAGTACTTCTGAGAATCTTTTAGCAAACTAAAACCAATCAAATTAATCAGAAATAACCTTTCCTCAACAAACCCATGCTGCCCACCCTTGTTTAAATGTTAGGATAAAGGTTGCATTGAAGTGACTTATACTAATTAGAAATACAACTGCATAAACAGAGCTAATGTTTATTTTGACCTTGAAATGCAAAACTGTTTACCAAACTAACTGCACCACACTCAAACTGAGTGAGACAACACAATCTTCTTTAAACAAAATATGTAAAAGTGTATCTAAAAATGCACATTTGTTACAAAAGGTGAAATATCTTTTTATGTACAGGAATAGATGACCTAATATACCGAATAAGACCATATAAACTAGCAGCCCCTGTCCATAACATTCTACCTGGACTAATTTTGCTAATCATAGATAGAGCTTCAGTCATTACTGCAGCAAATTTCAACTTTCCTGGGTCGGAGAAATAAAAACAAAGCAAGGTTTTAACTCAAATTTGCTAGCATTAGACTCCTGAAAAATCTGAGCAGGTGCGAATGTTCTGTAACCATGCCCTCCACTCTGTAAGAGCTTTGAAATGCACATGAGAAGAATATGCTTTAGCTAACTTAAAAGTTGACTGAGAGGTCTGTGGCGCAATGGTAGTGCCCCAACATCTGAGCCAGGAGGTCTGGGTTCAAGTTCCCCATCCTGCAGTGTTGTGTAATAACATCTCTGAACAGGTTGATTCTCTGACACCATGAGTCAGCAGCCTAGACTTTCTGAAGAGGGTGCAGTTTAAAACTGAATGGTTAAAAACAAATTTGGGATTTCAATTGTATTACTTTAACTCAATTTCAACGTATTATCATTAACATGAATTGTTCTAGATAGCAATCTGGAGAAGTGAAGGGTGCCTGCTTGTAGGAGCAGAAAATTGTATTGAAGTGTAAATGATGGGAACACAAAAATTTGCAGTAGCAAGGTTTTAGATAAAAACGCTTTTATGTATTACTTTCTTTTTTAAAATGACTGAAATCTAGTTTCCCAAATGTCACAACATTATTGCTCCAAGAAAAATAACTTAAATAATTACCTTAAAGGCAAGAGTGCAAACTTCTTAAGAGTTTTCCCCAGCAATTGAGAGGGGGTTGAGTGTTCAGTCATTAAGTGCTGGCAGCTGCATTGCTGTGAGGAAAGCCATTATCCTATGGACCCTGTCCTCTGAGTGTCCATAAAGAAAGGGCTGTATGCCCCAGAAGCTGCTGGGAAGCTGCATGTGGCAGATGGCAAGATGCCCGCAGAGACAGGGAATGCCTTAATAGGCCATTTAAGCAGTTCAGTTGGCTTCCATGAAGGCAGCCAGTCTACTAATCTCCTTACTGCTAGCAAAATGACACAGTGGCAGGAAGGAATCAAGCATCACCCCCACTCATGCTTGTATATGTTAGTTTGCCTATGCACTACATTTACAAACACATAGCTATTTGGCTGAGTCTGATATCTGTAAGAGTGCTACCAAAATGTAGAATGAACAACTGCTTTCAATATATCACCTTTTGCGTACAGTAGCACTATTCCACATAGAAAACTTTGACGGAGCAACATATTAAACAACAAACAGAACATAATGATGACAATAATGTAGAAGGTACTTACAGGATTATCTTTAAAATTGTTTAAAAGTTTGTTGTACTGACTTTGATCAAAATCTTGTAGCTGCTTCTGCTGGGCACTCATTGTAAAGATAGGCTTAAGGAAAAAAAAACAGATTTGAATATCGAACCTTGTACTAAAAATGCACCATAAGACAGATTCAGAGGAAAGAAGTACCATTGATGGCGATTATTGTATTTTGGTAAAAGAAACTGCTAGGGAGCAATTCTTATATCATTCTACACGGAGTCCACAAGACAAAAACAAACCATTCAAAACTGTGCCATGCCAGACTTGATATATGTAAGCCTTCTCTCATTTCTCTTGTTCTAGTCTCAAATATTTGACAAGACCTGTTGGCTTTTTAACTCCTATACGATGGGGGATTGCATTATGTTTCCAGAAAACAATCTTGTTTTCCTTGAAACAAGCAGCTTCTAAGCACTTGCCTTCTCAGCTCTGAGAGCATTTGAACTGTCTTGCTATTGTTCTACCTTTGTATATCAAGAACAATATGTTTATTTACTCCTTTTAACTTTGTTCTGTTGGAAATGAGGAGAAAACTACATGTTTAAATCAATTTCATGATAAAGAAGCTTTAAGTTGGACTTAACATCACTTCATATCAATATTAGTCAGGATGATTGATTCATATTTGCATCAACTCCTTAAAAAAGGGTCAGTCTTGAAAATGGTCATGTGACCAAGCCATAGTTTTCAGGCATTGGCATTCTATGATCCCAAGTGAGATCTGATATTGACATGTGATGCCTTCCCCTTATGACATCTGGGTAGTATTAGCTCATAGATGGCCCTTGGAGAGGAATGCCCAACAGTGTATGTATCCAGGACTTTGGCCAAAGCACAGCATAAATACGCACAGATACAGAAGGAAGGTTTAGCGGTTATATTTGGAGCCAGGAAGTTCCACCAATACCTTTACAGACGTAAATTTATAATAATAATAGACCACAAACCCTTGCTAGGTCTACTTAAATAGAACAAGGCAGTGCCATCCATAACTTCAGGCCATATTCAGTGGTGGGCTCTAATACTAAGTGTATATAACTACAAGTTGGAACACTGTCCAGGAGGCCAAGTAGCAAATGTGGATGCATTGAGCCACCTCCTGCTGGCAAATACATCACCAATTGTATCGCCACTGGAAGAATCTGTAATGATTTAAAATTTTTCGGACACACTTCCAATCACAGTTGACAATATCAGACTTTGGACACAGAAAGATCTGGTGCTGGTAAAACTGAAACAGCTGATGGTAATATGGGAAAGCAAAGGGCCGTCACAACCAGAACTGAAACCTTTTTGGACCCAGAGAGACTAGATTACAGTAGAGAACAGCATATTATTATGCAGAGCAAGAATGATTGGCCCGAGCAAAGGTTGACGTCAGGTACTGGCTGAGCTCCACCAGAGTCATCCAGGAGTTTCCAAAATGAAGATGTTGCTGAGAAGTTACGTCTGGTGACCAGGATTGGATGCAGACATAGCTGCATTGGTGGGGCAGAGCCCAGGATGCCAATAAGGACAAAAATTACCACTAGCACCTCCTCCAAATTCATAGAATGGCCAGGTAAATGCAGGTCCTTTCTTGGGCTCAATCTCTTAGTCATTGTGAACACCTACTCTAAGAGGCTGAACATACATAGAGTTCATTCTTTAACACAGGGGCGATTATAGAAAAACTGCACCCAACTTTTGCAATACACAGACTCCCAGAAGTGTTAGTCATAAATAATAGGCCATCAGTTACCAGCAGAGAATTTGAGTATTTCCTAAAGTCAAATGGTATTCATCATACAAGGACAGCTCCATCATCCAATGGTCTGGCAGAAAGAGCAGCGTAAACTTTGAAGGTATGCTTAAAGAAACAGCCTATAGTTTCATTAGATACCAAACTGCTCCTATTTGATTATAGGACCACCCCTCATCCAACTAAAGGGATGACTCCAGCAGAGTTGGTAAAGAGGAGAAGACTCTGTACTCAGGTTCAAATTTGATCTTCCTAGACATGGGGGAGAGGGGTTAAATGGCATCAGGAATGCTGATGCCGGCCAAAGACTTGGTTACCTCTGAGAGAAGATCAATGCTTAGTGATTATAACATCTTCCATCCTTTAGATATATAAAGAGGATCCTCATCTTTCACCTTTGTCTGGATTAGGAAGGTTACATAGCAAAAATATTACTGCAATAGGCTGGAGGATACCTGCAGTTTTACATGCTTGGGTGTTTGTCCCTGTGCCTTTCAGCCTAGAGGACCTAAGCTCAGGTAAGCTGTGTGGCTTCCATCAGGAGAAGGTTCACCCTCCTCAGCTTGAACTGTTACAAATTCTGGGATCACAGGCATTGGATAGGCAGAGCGGCAGGTCATCTGTGAATATCCTAAAAAGAAGCTTCTGGGTGTCGCTTCTCCCCATTGTGAATGCCTACTGGCACAGCCCTAACTGGCTGAAAGGCACAGGTATCTAGAGTGTGGTTAAGTTCCTCAGGCACCTTTTGACACCATTGATGCTGAGCACCCATGCCTAAAGAGATGATATGCAGGTCTGAGTACATGCACGGCATGCACTGAGTGTCCTGTTAAGCCTGGGTCTCAAGTCGACCAGCATCCTTTCCATGCACACATGCAGGTCTTTTACATGTTGGAACCACCACAACTGTGAGAACATTGAAGGATTTCTCCATCTCGCATTTCAGCCTTCCCAGTGCTTCTTGCAGACCAGATGTTCCTGTGTGCCCATTTACATAGCATGTCAATTTCAGGGCCATATCTTCTACATGGGCATGTTTAGGTGCTTGGTATCTTGCAGTCCTTTATGTGCTAGAGACTCTGGTATTTTATCCTTATCAGCAGAGACATATCAAAAATGAGCTCACCAGATAGTGCTCCTCCAGAATATTTTATATAGAATACACACGGAGGTGAAAGTCACTGAGCTTCAGAAGGGTGCAAATGAACCCTAGCTTATACATCATCTCACGGTTCACACGTTTTCCTTTTGAGTAGAACGGTTATTGAGGGGGCTGGGCTATTGCCTCTTCGATATTGAGTTTCCCTGCATGCCACTAATACCCGCATAAGAGTGGGAGTTATTTGGAGAAGATGGATAAAAGCTAGTGCACAACAAGAATGAATTAGCAGTGGTGGCAATTGGAGAAGCATATAGAACAATGAAGTTTACTGATTTTGTTTCCCACTCTTGACTCCCTGTCAACATGAATAGTCATCATCTTCAATGGCCTGCTCAACTACGTTTTCATCATAGAAAATGAGGAGCTTGATGTCCACCTTACCCCTGCTTTTCTTTCACAGCAGAGGTATCAGTGACATACTTCTTTGTCTATCCAGGCTGCAAATGTCTGGTAGGAAGGCCTCTTGTTGTGGTCAGCTGGGAAGAGGACTGATCTTGTCTCCATTATCCCATCCACCAGTAGCTTCAGATCTTTCATTTCAAAGTGGGAACAAGTTTATTTTTCTCTGTACAATATAGTCAAGAGTTGAGGGTCAAGCACCACACAGTATGATGCATATTTCCTGGGTTTTAGAACATAGAACATAGAAATAGAACATTACAGCGCAGTACAGGCCCTTCGGCCCTCGATGTTGCGCCGACCTGTGAAACCAATCTGAAGCCCATCTAACCTA